CTCAGCCACTGATCAAGCGGTGAGGTGGAAAATAAGTTAAAAAAATATCTACATTTATATGCACTCGAGGATAGGAGGGCATGGCTATGATAGGGAGAACAAAATGGGGATAAAATATGTGTTCGTTTGAATATTCTCAGACGCGGATGGTCTATTATAATATGTGTCGTGAGCATCGGCAGCAAAAGGGTTCTGCTACTACCGGCATAACGTTGAATGGTCTTGGGGCGCGTGTGAAGGATTTCAATTGTTGTAGTATATAATATGTGTGTATACAGGGTGATTYGTCAAGCATGCTCACCCCTATTGTAGATATTCTTTATTAATTATGCATTTATTCAAATTCTGATTTTTGGAATTTTCAAGTATGCTTAAATATGGTATTTAACCCTTTCAAATATTCGGATTAATGACTAGGTATTTGAAAATCATAGTTATCACTAATGTATTTGATTAGCGTTTTATAATTCATAGATATATTTTTCAGAGTATAATGACTGATGACTGATGAGTCATTAAAATAATGTTATATGTTTTATATTTTATGTATAAATGGTATGACCATGGCCCACATAGTTCATAAACCTAAGTCACTCAGGAACTGCTCGTTCGAATAACAATTATTTAGATGCCTACATCAATAATGGCCATTTCGAAAAATTACCAATAATCTACAGTAAAAGATAATAAGGTTCTCTCGATTGTTGAAACAAAGAACATTGTGTCGTCACGGGGAACTCTTTAAATGACAGTGAAAATATCAAAATAATTTAAATAATTACATAATTAATAAGGATGAARAACGGTTGCAAACCTAATATATGCTCACTGAATGCACCACGCTGTATAACGTTATATATAATATATAAATAGTGTTTACGTGGTCGCTGCAGGTTTCGTTGCGGAAAATGTCTGAGAGATAATTTCAATTGGAACAAAAACGTAGCCCGTAGGTACCTATACAATATAGATACATATACGCAATATTATAATATATTACATCCACATAGCATAATATATAATAATAATAACAATATGTAGGTATACGATAGAATTGCACATTTAATAATAATATGTACATGTATTGTGTACATGTATAATATTCAATTTGACGAACAAAACCGTGAGTTCTGTGGTCGTAATACCGTACGGATTTCGCCTCGGCAAACACATTTTCAATACTATCATACGTAGGTATATTATTAGATTCGTCGCCATCGTTGCAGGAGTCATTGACTATTCAGAGTTTTTCCACATAAGTCTTTACATGTCGTTTATCGTTCAATCATGCACAGCCACATTGTTGTCCTTATTCCTGTACGTTTTTTTTTTTTTTTTTACACAGAACTCGTAAGTCTAATTACCCAATAGTAACTGGTGGTATTTTAATATTAAAATATAACAATAATATGATTTATAAGATAATTATTATGCAACTAGTGTTTTT